GAGGTCATGGTTGGGCTTACCGTTACGTTTGGTGTTTCGTTGCTGCGTTTCCTGTCAGCCAGGTCTTCTGTGAGGATTCTAGCCTCTCCTAATCTCGCAGCAGATTCGTCATGAAACAGGTTACCATTTTCATTCCAACCTCATCGTGTCTCTTCGGCTTAGTTTACTTTCAATGCCCACATCGTGCTAGCACTTGGGACCAGGGTAGCGTAACCGACCCCTGCCCTCTTTTTATCACCATGAAGCGAGATTACGGGGAATCGACTTGACTTCTTTAAGCAGCCTCTGTGCTATTTTGTATCGAAAAGGAGAGTTTACATTTGAAACATGCCCGCACGTTGGTACCGTTAATTATCTGACGAAATACCGGCAAAGTTGTTGAAGGAATTAGCCACAGAATTGGCAGAACCTCTGAGCGTCCTCTTCCAAGCCTCTCTTGATGCAGGCAGACTGCCTCCTGAGTGGAAGACTGCGTGGATCTCACCGATTCATAAAAATGGCAGTCGCGCTTCCGCAAACAACTACCGACCAGTAAGCCTCACCTCCATATGCTGCAAAGTTATGGAGCGAATAATCAAACGCGAACTGATGCGGTTTTTAGAGCAAAATCATCTTCTGTGCGATGCACAGCACGGTTTCCGCAGAGGGAGGTCCTGCTTAACCAATCTACTCTACTGTCTTGAACAGTGGACCCGAGCGATTGATGAAGGAAACGTTGTGCATGTGGCCTACATAGACTTCAAGAAGGCATTTGACAGCGTGCCACACCAACGTCTCCTACACAAGCTCAGCCGCATAGGGGTAAGAGGCAAGCTTTTGAAGTGGATTGAAAACTTTTTGGTCGGTCGGTCCCAGACTGTTCGTCTTGGTGGCCAGCACTCGGCAGAGGTGACGGTTACGAGCGGAGTACCTCAGGGCTCCGTTCTTGGCCCTATCCTCTTCCTCATCTATATTGATGACTGTATCCATGGATTGGACTGCAAGATTGCCATGTTTGCTGACGATATAAAGCTTTGGACCGTCATCCGCAACGAGGACGATGAAGCAAATTTACAGGCAAACTTAGACCGACTCGAAAAATGGTCAGGCCACTGGCTCCTCCCATTTAATGTTACCAAATGCAACATTCTGAGGATTGGCAGAACCAGCTCTGCGCACCGGCAGACGTACTATCTAAATCACACACCGCTGCCACTGGTAGAGGTTCAGAAAGACCTAGGGGTGTGGATAACATCTTCACTAAAGCCATCATTCCACTGCTTGAAAGCAGCCAAATCCGCAATGTCCAGCTTATATCTCATTAAGCGGGCATTTGCAAAGTTCGATGAAGAGTGCTTCCGCAAGGTCTTCGGGATGTTTGTGCGCCCACAGTTAGAATTTGCCATTCAGGCCTGGAGACCCTGGACTGTTAAGGATCGTACCACCCTCGAAAAAGTCCAACGACGGGCAACCAAGCTTGTCAGAGGTCATAAAAACCTACCTTACAAAACCAGACTTTCAAATCTTAACCTCTTTCCCCTGGACTACAGACAACTCCGTGGCGACTTAATTCAAACGTTTAGAATGTTACGGGGTCAGAACTGCTGCCTCGCATCCGGCGACTTCTTTGAGCTGGCCACCACTACTAGCTTGAGAGGACACCCTCTGAAACTACGTGTGACAGGAGCGAGACTGGACGCAAGAAGGTCCTTCTTCAGCCACAGAGTGGTAAAGGCATGGAACGCCCTAACTGTGGATGTCGTCATGTCCTCATCCGTGGACTCATTTAAGAGAAAGCTTGACCAGAACAGGGATATGTACCTCCACAGCATCAGGAACTAACGAATTCCCCCCTGTGCCACCCGTCCCATCCAACGTTTTATGTTACAAAGCATGCTACTCCCTATATTTTAGTAACATTACGTTTTACAATTTTCGCTATCTCCTGACCGCCACATATGCGCTTGCTTTGATATTACTTGGTCCATTCATTGCCGTACTGGATATTGTACAATCTTGACACAGAAGGCATTCACAGACAAACTCATACCAGTGACCAATGCTTGTTGTATGTAATTACTTACCTAATTTTTTTCACACTTGCCTTGCACATTGTTTTTATGACGTTATTGTAACCAAAAGGGAGTTCAAAGGCGTTCGCCTACTTTTCCCTTAATAAATCTGATCTGAAAAAATCTCAGCCCGTAGAATCGTTCGGATACAATGGAAAGCGTTTGCCATATAGTAAACGTGAAAGACAATAGTACGGCCTGTTTCGCGTGAGGGGGTTTAGTCTGATTTGTCCTCGCATTCACGTTATGCAGCGGCCCCCTAAAGGCCTAATAAACATTTCTTCTCTGCTAACAATCTGTTGCAAAGGACACCGATTGGCTTCGCATCAGTCTTAGTTCTACCCAGATAAACATCGAAGAGAAAGGACTCATGATGTTCCATGACCTTTAACTGCGCCAGAAATATTAATAATGCTGGGAGCACAACATACCATACGTTCATGTCCATGAAACATAGCAAATTCGCATGTAAAAAATTCCAATAATTGCCACCTATAGCCCACATTATTCTTACATAGAACGGAAGAGGACATCAACCGGATGGCTGTAAAGGGGAGAAGGTAATGCCAGCTGGTGGAGAAGAGCACCTGACGAATGCGTAGTTCGCCTCTTCTGTACTGCTGCAACGTGTCTAGGACAAGAATTGCACTACCTTCTATGACAGTACTCTTCGGACTTTAATTGTGCACTGTGAACATGCCTTGACCATAGGGACGTAACCCGATTCTTTTCTTATGTAGCGCATATGCCATTGTTTGAGCACGCGGTGAAGATTTATAGTGGCCCTACTCCGAGAACCTGTTATACAGCTAGACCGTTTGTAGCGGCCGAATACGTCGAGGGTAGCACACACGGGAACGTGGAGCAATATATGTAATTGCTGGCTAATCCGGTCTGAAGAGAGTTGTCAAACGGGTCATCGATCTCATCCAAACTGGCAGTAGAAAAAGCCAAGTAGTGCGCAATACGTATATTAATAGTAGCGGGGCAGATATGTTGCGAGCGCAAAGGACACAACTGTCAATCCCAGACTATGGATATCAGGATAAGACCAGAGCTATGAAAGAAGTAACAATCAAATGTCCAACGACCTGACAATCCGACAGTTGCCGAGCGCGTCGCGTCGCGTTGTGTTGTATTGCTTTCATTCAGTTAAACAGCCAGTAAGTTCAAGAATGTTGAACAGGTAGGTAAAGGCAAGATAGTCTGGCGCCTCGGCACAGGTACATAGGGAAACGTTAAACGATACAAGGGCGGAGTGAGAATTACAGCAGATATGATGATCCGTCTGGATGAAGAGGCGGTACCGACAAATCAACTAGACAACCGGTGGAGAATGCAGCGCTGTCTGTAATTGCGGGGTGGGGCCGTGGAGAGTACCGACCAAGAGCGGGAGATACGATGCAGTAACGGCGGTAGAGGGGTCGGCGGGAACCTGAAGACAGAACACCGGTCATTTTCGTCGAAATGCGGTCACACGATTTCCGTCCTGGATCTGCGCTCCAAAAATGCCACCACATTCTTCAAACAACCCCAATTAGGTCAAGGGACGTTATACTTTCGCGAGTGTCTGCGCTTGCGCACCAGAGCTGTCCGGCATTCGTTTAGTCCGCTCCCCAACTGGCCAATCATATTCAAGGCCGAGTCAGACGTGTCCCCTCTTTTGAAGTTTTGACGCGTTCCCTTACGCCGCTCTCCCGGCGCCGGACGTGCCCTCGTCCGGATGTTAACTCTTTTCAACCCCTTCTCCAGTTATTCTGTGCCGAATTCATCATCCTCCCAACTGGCGTCCACCTCTTTGCATTCGGGACCGGGCATAGAGGTCGTGGTTGGCAACGTCTCACTCTCAGCCTTGACTGTCGCTATAAACTGTCTTATCCGTCGTGTTGTTGCCGCAGGCGCTCACACGGCAAACAATTTCCCCGGACATAGGACCATAGTCCGGTGATGCATCATGGACAAATACATTTACATACGAAGGACCCTCACAGTTTGCTTGAAAAAATACATGGCTAAGTCAGACATCTCTTTGCGATAAAGCCTACTGACTGGGCGCCTGAAGACTCGAAGTACATGAAAAGTACAAAGAAAAACCAAAGTCTCAATTTTGGAAAAAATAAGTCTAAAGGTCCCAAACTCCCTTGCACCTCTGTCAGCACATACCAATCACTAATAACTTATGACACCTTCAATGGATATGGTCGTTTCATTCATCACGGATGTCTAAAACACGGAATGTTCGCGTGGTCATAATTCTCACTTTGGGGTTAGTGCGGTAGGCGCCTTTCATCCGCGCAGCTTTCAGAGCGGATATTGTGAAGTATCTCTCTTCCAGAACTGCCTTTATAGAGAAAAGTGGATCGACAACCACATTCCATTCTAAATCGTACTTTCATCCTCCCCTACTCCGAAGTGTCTGGTCGCAAAATGCGCCTGATTGTCAGAATGACTTTGGACAGTTAACAGGTCGGTCGCAGGCAGTCAGACAGGCGGAGCCACTGTAATTTTGACGACAAGATACGACAAGTGCGCACGGTCGCGTCATCGTCGCCGTCGACACCGCCGATGACAGATTTCCAAAATGTTGAAGACAGGGACGACGTGTACTTGTGCGGCCGTGAGGCTGTGTATACGTCGCCTGCGCTCAAGACCTCTAGCAAAGACGGTAACAGATCGTGTCAGTCATTGATTTCCTTCAGCCTAGGTGTTTGTGGTCTGTGGGGGGAGATGCGAGTCGACGGGTAGCGGGAGAAATTGGCGGCAAGTAAATATAAGGAATTGGGCTGGGCCTGTTCTATGAATGGTAGTCCGGTAAGCCATCAGAGCAAACGGTAATCTAGCACCCCAAATAAATCGGTGATGGTCCTCGGGAAACGACTTCAAAAGGCTTAATGATGCTGCGTCCAGTACGTTCTACCTGTCCATTGGCCTCTGTGTGCGCCGGTGTTCTCAACTAGCGGAAAACACGAGGGCTAGAGCCTCTTTCTCTATTTGTCCGTAGTTCTTCTCCGCAGGGGTTAGCGTGCGAGATGCATGCATGATCGCCATTTCAGACCCGTCGGGAAAAGTATGTGAGATGACGGCACTAACTCCGTGGTTGGAAGCATCTGCAGCAACAACGATCGGCAGCGTCGGGTCGTAGTGCGTGAGCTGCAGATCTGAACTCAGCATCGACTTTAGCTGGGCGAAGGCCTTTTCACAGTCGGGGGACCAGCACCAGGGAGCATCCGTCTGCAACAGATGGTTGAGCGGGGCCCGTACGTCATGCAGCGATGGTAGGAAGGCGCTAGAGTAGCTGATCAGGCCAAGGAACGAACGAAGTTGCGATACATTCTTGGGTGCAGGCATCCGTTGAATGGCCCGAATGTTTTCAGGATCCGGACAGCGATCGGTGACGTCAAAAATGAATCCGAAGTACTTGACGGAGTTGAGGAAGTATTAAAAATTGTCGGCCCGCAGGCGGAAGCCATACTCCTGCACGTGTTTGAGTACTGCGCACACTCGGTCTTGCAGCTCGGCAGGGGAGCGACCCACGATGATGATGTCGTCCAGGTACCCAGCTGTGCCAGGGATACCGGAGATCATGGCGTCCATCGTTTGTTGGAATACGGCCGGGGCGGTCTTGACACCAAGGGGCAGGCTGGTATATTGGAACATACCGCGGTGGGTGTTGATGGTTAACAATGTGCGCGACTCTGGGGCGACCTCGATCTGCAGGTACGCATCAGCGAGGTCCAACTTAGCAAAACGAGTGCCATCATTCAGCAATATGAAAAGATCAGCCGGAACCGGCAGTGGATAGCAGTTCGGCGTCAGCGCGACATTGTGCCGGGTGGAGAAGCCAGCACAAATGTGGATCGAGTAATAGGCTATTTTCGAAATTACTTAGGAAGTTACAATGAAAAAAATCAGGGCTCCAAACCGGCAGGTTCATTCGTCGAGCAACGCTCTTGTAACCGAAGCAGCATCTAACCGATGTACGCGGGCAACCTCGACCCGCTGGAATAACAGCCAACCAATTCTAAAGTGCACGGGAGTGGCTGTGGTTGCACCATGTCGACACTCGCACATCCCCTCACAATTAATCGATTCTGGGGCTACAGCGCTTAACTTGATTTACTGCACTCCCACCCTCACCCACGGCAAGACAGTGTCAAGACGGTCGGAGGTGGGCTCGGATGCTGTGATTGGTTCGTGTACGCGTGCCACAAGCGACCCGATGTCCGTACGATAGATCAGGTTATAACAGATTAGTGATTTGGATCGAACGTCGTTTAGGACAGCAGTCCCGAAATGACGACACCCTTACGCTTAATCAGCTTCAGGGACTGACTGGGTTTTCCGGACGCCTGAAATTTACCGTCCGTCTTCGTCTTCTAGAGCTTATGCAACGTAAATGCCTAAGAACAAGAAGCGATCATTTTTGCCTCTCCCCTCTCCCTCCTCTCTGAGCGAACATTGGGGACACTGTCTTTCATTATTTAATGTGGAAACCTGGCTACTGTTTCATTCGACAAAAGGTAGACCTAGGTATGACGTGTGCTGGGACTCACCTGGACCTTCAAAGTGGTCTGAATAGGTTATATAGGCAGTGGACTGCTCAAAAACCCTTCTTTTTTGAACTTCTTCCCTCCTGATCCACATTTCTTTCAGCTCCTACAGTGTAGACATGGATGCAATGATCTAGGAGATTTTCGGTGCAATCCGTCTTAAGCATGTGCACGCGGATTCGTACAACGTTGCAATACTGTCGAACGTGTACCGGTGGTTTCAATGTGATCTGGGCTGGCGAACCTGCACGTTCTCCATGGTGTGGTGTGGCCGGGAACGTGAGTTGACGCCTGTGAATCCATCTATACCAGCAACGTTTCGTCCTTCTCCTGCTTCTTGCCCCACGAAATAAACCTCCAACTTTCTGAGACAGCAGGCGTCAGGAAGATGGAAGGGGAAAATGTGTGACTCAGCGGTATGAGGGTTTGTCGCGATTCTATCCCAAGAGATTGCTTTACGCCTCAAAAAGTTCCCAAAAGGATTGGATTTGTGTCCCTCAGCCGCAGTAGGAAATAGAACGGGAAAGCTGTTAACGACACTTTATCTTTTGGCTCCAGTCTTGCTAATGAATTTTTCCCTATTTTTTCATTTGACTCTTGGTGACCTGATTGTTGAGTTTACCTAAAAACGACAAATGAAATATATGTTTTTGAACGAACGCTTATTGGCCATTTCTTTAATTTAAACAGCCTTCCTGGGCATTTGGAAGTCAAAATGAAGCAGGGATATTCAGAGTTTGGAGAGGGATCTGGTGAACCAATGACAGGGCTTTTTGTACTTGGCACAGGTGACACAGAATTGAGGAGGGAGACACTCACATAGTACTTGCAGTGATGGGCGTGTTGACGCCTGCGTACGTCTACGTAGTCGTGCTTCCATCCACTTCCGTGTGCTCCACGGACACCGGCGACTTCCACGTGAACTCGTCGATGATGAGGCGGACTTGTGCTGCACCTACTGCACTCTCTCTCTCCCATACCCGTCAGGGTTAGACGGCGAAACAATATGAAAACGAATGGAGGTGAGCTCATGTGCGGTGGTTGACACGACCGGACGACCGTCTAGGCAGGCCCAAAGACGACCTGGTACCCGCCGCAAAGTGTACCAGGTTTCCACAGAATAGACGGCGGTTTGGATCTCACTTTCGAGAGTGCCCCAGAAGTCGTATTAAGGTCTTACTCCCGTCATCCCACGTACACACAGTATTAAGCACAATGACTGACTTTGATGGGTAGTAGGACCATGTGCGGACAACCTCCCCGTGAAATTATTTCCAGCAACGCAAATATGTAGACGACGTTGGAGGTATACGTATGACAACGTGTCCAGAATCCATGCTCGGCATTTGAGACGTGCGTGAAAATAAGGGCTTCTAGGTCATTTCATTGAAAAGTCACATCGAAAGCGCACCTGCAAGGATTGGCGATGATTGTACAGCCCGTTAAACACCAAAGCCACTGCATCGGAAAATGAACCGACTACTTCGAACATTCAGCTGCATTCTAACAACAGACATACCAACTGTTCATAAGCGAATACGATCATCATTGCCGTGCATGAGGAGATACAATGCGCTATAAAATCAGTGCCGCAGAGATCAGACATGATTGTAGCAGCACCAACTATGAAACCAGTCCAGCTCCCAAGGTCATTGCGTATTTAAGAAGCAGCAATTAACTCACACGACCCAATTCATAGATCCATGGCCGGAGGAAGTCGCAGCCACCACCAACAAGCCCCTCCAACATCATCTACTGTCGTGTCACATTGTGCAGATACAATCGGACTTACCGAGTATTCGGTGCAATCACAGATTACTCGTTTACTCCCTGTGCAATTACCGAAAATGCAAAAATCCCGATTAATTGGCCTACGCCACCTACGACAATGACGGTAAACAGAAGTGACGGAGTCTGCATCGTCACCAAATGTTTCGACCCCAGCCGCCTTTTAATTACTCAAGTGTATTCCTAGCAAACAATGATTCCAGTGGGAATCATGACCTCTGGCTTACCCCGTTGGCAACAGAAAGTCACGACAAAAAACACGCGACACCCAAACCATATTGCTCGAGCCTCCGCCGTCTGAATTTCAAACCGCACATCCCGACCTAGACCTTCAGGGAGGGAAAGTACGATTTGAACATGCCACTAGCCCTTTTATTTGAGCCGCAGAGGTCATGTTTACAATAATTGTCGTATACACGAAAAACGAGTAACGACTGGACGCAAGCTTACCTCCGCTGGGTCGGCAGCACATATGCAGAAGTTTAAGACCACTGTGGATATTAAAGGAATGCCAACAATGACTGGACCGATTCCGCGAGTGTGACTAATGCTCCAATTCCATTAGGGAATTTAGTCCATAATGACTGGACCCGCTCCTCCCGAGTGAGACAGATGTTCAAATCCCATGAGGGAATTTAGGTTTCTCTTATTACCAGTAACTTCTCCTCACTGTCTTCGACAAGTCTGCCCTCCCCCCGGAGTGCCAATGCACAAAGCAGAGCAGGCCGGGGCAGACATACACGGTTCCACTGTCACCAGCTCCCAGTGTTCAAACCCAATGGAGGGGAGGAGGGACGACACGAGGTTTGAACCCAGGTCCGATTAACCTAAATGCATAGTCTTAAGGCCAAAGGGATTGTCTCTGGTGCATCCAGCAACCAGGATACATTAGTTCTAGCCAAAAAATACCTCCCACTTGCATCGACTGCCAACCTTTTACACATTTTCTTTTTAAGAGACGTGAAGTCAACTGTTGGGCAAGTCAATAGGATTTTTATAGATAGATAGGAAGAAAACAAGACTTTCAAAACAGGCCGGTTAAAAACACATACTGCGAGCCACTCTGACGGGAAGGCGGAGAAAATGGGACGGGGGGAGGTGTCAACAGGATAGACAAATGATTGTGAAACCAGTACCAAAAGTAAAACAGCTAGAGTTGACTGCATGTGTGAAGTTCGTCATAGGAAGCTGGGGGAAGACAAAAGTGCAACCGTTCAGGGGATGCTGTGGCGCAAACAGCCGCATGCACTCGACCGACCCTAAAGAAGCAACTCACGGGAAGACAAGGTGGCGGAACGCATCTCCCTCCCCCCTATCGAGGGGGAGGGGGAGATTTCATCAAAGCCGACTGAGCCCCAAGGTAGGAGGGCAGTACAGTGTGGGGCCGTACTCCGCAGGGGAGAGAACAGAGCGTTGCCGGTATAGACGGTCTCACAGGCGTAAAACCCAAGATCCCCGCAATCCCAGAGGGAAAACAAGACGGAGGGCTCGCCGTTACAGGTCAACAGTGAAACCACCGGTATACGCTCGGGATGCGCGCCAACTACGGCCCTGTGCTAATCGTTAAGAGAGGGGCTAGTGCACAGCATTTTAGCTGGGAGCGGCAAGAATCCCCTAAACGACTGCACTCATGTCAAAGTGAAAGGGGCTGTCTGAGGATGTTGAGGGGTCGGGTTGACATGCGGTGCTGTTAGACCCGTTTCATGAGGCAAACGCTTCACCGGACCACACAGAAGTCGCTCAAGACAGTACAATCAGTCTTCATGCCTCCTTCTGTCAGAAGTCCGTTGGTTTTAGTTCCAGAGCGGCGGGGTGTGCTGGTGAAAAAAAAAGGAGTCGAGGAAGGGCGGGTGGAGGGGTAGGACAGTCAATCTTGCAATTGCATCCTGAAGAAGACTTCAAGGGGCTAAAATTGAAAAAAAACGGAAATGCCAGTGGAGCCCTGAATGTGACAGTAGGTAAAGAACAACGACCAGAGCCCTAGAAAGTATAGAGTAGACCCGAGAAAAACCTACCCAGAGGATGGAGTTCAGAGATGGGTTATGGCTGCGTGTTGAAAGTTGTTCTGGAGAGTGAGGCAATCCACAAAGTCCGCCAAAGGAAGCTAACTGATTTTAAAAACCCGTTGAAAACATGGACGTAGTTGGGTGCTCAGTTCGCCTTCTCGTCACTTCCCATTGGCCCTGCAAGAAGCGGTCTCTTCAGTACTTGAGGGCTGATTTCCGGGTATTGTAGGCGAAGGCTCAAAACTATTCTTGTGACTCTTTCCTCTATCACTACGGGAGTGCCGACAGGATAGAGTCGTTTGGGTAGAGGTGCGGCAGCCATCCGTAGGACAATGCCGCTACACAGAATGTCAGTCCGTTTCAGACATGACGGTCGCGCGGTGCCAGATTGGAGATTTCAGCTCCCCGACTGACATTGGAGGTCGCGGCTGCGTAACCGCCCTTCTGTGAGGCGGTCCTCCCCAAGTTCACAAAAAACCTGCAAACGATTAAAAGAAGTAAAAACGGGTCAATGTAACGGCAGCAACGAGCGTAAGTTAACAGGACAATACGCTTCATCAAGACTACAAACTCCATGAAGACCGGACAGATGCCTAATGCCATAGAAACGGACAGCGTCCTGGATAGGTGCCCTACATATGGCCTATAGGACGCATCTCCGGCCATGTCGAATCAGCTAACGCCTGTCCAGTAGCAACAAATCTGGACAGTCGGTTCCCAGCAAAGAGGGTTTGAATCAATCCGACCGCGAACGAAAAAGTTGAAACGAGAACAGGGATATGACTTAGCAGGAATCAGCAAGAACAAAGTAGGCTATTCATTGCGTCTTTTGGGAACAACTCCTGTCTACCTTCTCGACACAAAACATACGGACGGACTAAATCCGACCCCAGCTACTGTCACAGTGCATAAATACACAGGCACACCAGTTTTTGAGCAAAAAATTCGGCAAAGTAAACTCACGGCAAGTTTGAACGGAAGTCCAAGACGAAAGAATTGGCCTTCAGTGTACCGAGGGAACTCCCCGTTTTACCGTCCGAAGTAAGTTGTAGGCTAGTATAAAATCGCAAATTATGAAGCATGCAGAGGCCAATTTGCAGACTGGATTTGCAGTTGACAACCAATGACGGGCGAGGAAGAACCTGTTCGAAAGAACTAGTAGAATGCACAAGTTAATGCGTGGGAGAAAACACAGTCAACTAATTTCTCCACCGGTTATGTCGAAAAAAGGTCATGGTGAGAATCAGGGAAACCATATCCATTTTCGTACGGGCTATAGGGGCCGCTTACGGGCAGGCGTCAGCTTTGTCGGCGAGAATGGCCGTTGAGAGGTTGTCAGCCTTTACACCAAACCAGTTAACATTCAACTTTGTCCACATGAGCCTACAGGGCCCGACCAGATACCGACCGAATGTCACGCAATTCGCTCCTCAGTCTACTCCAGTAGGCCTGTGTCGCAATGCTTGACGGTGTAATACTCGTAATCTTCATAGAGTAGACGCGCGTACACTTTCCCCTAGTCCGTTACGACAACATAGCCCCTCGCCACCAACTTCACGATCACAGCCCTCGGCGAAAGCCAACTCCTGTCACCCACGTGCTCAAAGATGCCTTCCTGATGGATGTATCATTCAGGCCCAAGGGCAAACAGAGACCAAATCGCGCCACGAGAAGTGTGTGTGAATCAATGCTTCGTGTGACCGAAGGTGGCGTGTATACGCATCGCGACACAACCGCTAGGTGGACTAAGAGGATAAGGAGGACGCAGTTAAAACTGGAAGGCCACGGAGGAAACTATATGTGAATTCTACGGAGCGTGGACACTGTAAGGGAACCGTAGATATACCGGTCCGTCCGAACAATACCGTTAACGCACCTAACTGAGCCACTCACTGGATAAGAAAGGGAAAAAGAACGTGAACGGAGGTGAAGGCAGGCACAGGAAAGCGCATGCGAATCGATGTTTGGTGTAGATGAGATTGGGCCGACAAAGACAAGCGAGACCGGAATGGCCATTTCTGGCTTATTAGCCGTCATCAGCCAGTCATACCCAACCCCAAGTGTGGATCACTTGAGATTCGAACCCGGGATCTTTGGCCATGAAGTGTGACGCTCTACCATTGAGCCACGGGCCCGTTGTCTTGTCGGTTGTGATCGGGAATATCGATTATGACAGTGGGCGCTCGCCGATCAGGTTACGGAACATGCTCGTTCCGTTGTGCCTTGGGGCTCATACTAGAACCCTCGCAGGCAGTCGCACAGCGACACGTAGAATGATATAAATTAGGTGGTACCGACAAAGACAAGGGAGACCAGAAAGGCCATTTCTGGCTTATTGGCCGTCATCAGCCAGTCATACCCAACCCCAAGTGTGGATCACTTGAGAATTCGAACCCGGGATCTTTGGTCGTGGAGTTTGACGCTCTACCATTGAGCTACGGGCCCGTTGTCCTGTCGGTTGTGATCGGGAATATCAATTATGACAGTGGGCACTCGCCGATCAGGTTACCGAAGGTGACGTGTACACACACACTCCCCACGACATAGGCATTTGCTGGATCAAGACGATAAGGTGAGCGCAATCACAACTGTAAGGCCACAGAGGGAACCGCGGTTTAAATCGCAGCGCATGTTCACTCTGGTGCAACTGACGGAGTTCCGACCCGTTCGAACAATGACATCAACAAGCCTACTTAGCCACTCGCTGGACTGGAAAATGACCACAAGGGAAATTGGCGCGATGCAGACTCTGAGTGTAAAAATAAACGCCAGGGGCCTAAATGCCCTCGTCATGAGGGGTATACCCGAGTCTACTTCAGACATCCCAAAGAACAGAAAAAATTACAATATAGAATTATTCCAGCAATACCTCAAATCCGTATAAACAGAGAACGTGAACAACACCATCTGGAAAGCTTCCAGAATGGTACAAATTAAGGATTCGAAAAGCGAGTCGAACCATCAAAGACCATTAAAAATTGCTCTCTAAAATGAGGAACAAGCTCTACTTCTGCTGAACAGGAAACCAGCACTCCGAGACGCCCACCCAACAAATTTTAGAGGGATTTCTCACCGGCCGATTCTGTGCGGCTAGTCCGAGGGTACTTCACTAGGCAGGCAGCCATGCGGTGTGGCGCCATCAATTCCTTCCCCGGCTATGCAACCACGTGGTAACTGCAATGGCCACGCCGACGTTCTCCGCGGCCGCTGATCCCCTGAACTGCCGATTCCATC